TAGTAGTAGTAGTAGTAGTAGTAGTAGTAGTAGTAGTAGTAGTAGTCGTAGTCGTAGTAGGAGTAGTAGTCGTAGTAGTAGTAGTAGTAGTAGTAGTAGTAGTAGTAGTAGTAGTAGTAGTAGTAGTAGTAGTAGTAGTAGTAGTAGTAGTAGTAGTAGTAGTAGTAGTAGTAGTAGTAGTACGTATTATTATTTATTCCCAACCCTCCTTGGTTGGGTATTCGTTTTGAATAGAGCAGTGTGGTCGCGTCCCTTCTCCCGCCTCCCGCCTCCCGCCTCTTCCTGTCTTGCCCGCGGGGGGCTGCGATCTGTGAAACTGTCGCCATTTCGAGGCCTGCTGGGGGGCCCAGCACAGAGGGCCACGGGCGGACCCAAATTAGACCTCGCCATCCCTGGGGGGCTGCGATCTGTGAAACTGTCGCCACTTTCGAGGCCTGCTGGGGGGCCCAGCACAGTGAGGGCCACGCGGCGGATTCAAATTAGACCTCGCCATCCCTGGGGGGCTGCGATCTGCGAAACTGTCGCCACTTTCGAGGCCTGCTGGGGGGCCCAGCACAGTGAGGGCCACGGGCGGACCCAAATTAGACCTCGCCATCCCTGGGGGGCTGCGATCTGCGAAACTGTCGCCATTTTCGAGGCCTGCTGGGGGGCCCAGCACAGTGAGGGCCACGGGCGGACCCAAATTAGACCTCGCCATCCCTGGGGGGCTGCGATCTGTGAAACTGTCGCCATTTTCGAGGCCTGCTGGGGGGCCCAGCACAGTGAGGGCCACGCGCGACCAAATTAGACCTCGCCATCCCTGGGGGGCTGCGATCTGTGAAACTGTCGCCATTTTCGAGGCCTGCTGGGGGGCCCAGCACAGTGAGGGCCACGGGCGGATTCAAATTAGACCTCGCCATCCCTGGGGGGCTGCGATCTGTGAAACTGTCGCCATTTTCGAGGCCTGCTGGGGGGCCCAGCACAGTGAGGGCCACGCGCGGACCCAAATTAGACCTCGCCATCCCTGGGGGGCTGCGATCTGCGAAACTGTCGCCACTTTCGAGGCCTGCTGGGGGGCCCAGCACAGTGACGCCACGGGCGGACCCAAATTAGACCTCGCCATCCCTGGGGGGCTGCGATCTGTGAAACTGTCGCCACTTTCGAGGCCTGCTGGGGGGCCCAGCACAGTGACGCCACGGGCGGACCCAAATGAGACCTCGCCATCCCTGGGGGGCTGCGATCTGAAATCACCGCTTTCGAAGTGGCTAGGGTTGCCCAGGGATTGCAACTAATCAGCTTTATCTAGTCCTTGTCCTGAAGCCAGTTCCCTGCGAGTCTCCCGATTTCCGTCTGCAGACATATGTAACCCTCGCTCCGTCATCGCCCCCCTTATAAAGTGCCCTAAACTATTTGCGCCCCGCGTTTGCGCAGGGGTTGGGTACGTCGCCAGGGTAGTTATTATTATTATTATTATTATTATTATTATTATTATTATTATTATTATTATTATTATTATTATTATTATTATTAGTAGTAGTAGTAGTAGTAGTAGTAGTAGTAGTAGTAGTAGTAGTAATAGTAGTAGTAGTAGTAGTCGTAGTCGTAGTAGTAGTAGTAGTAGTAGTAGTAGTAGTAGTAGTAGTAGTAGTAGTAGTAGTCGTAGTAGTAGTAGTAGTAGTAGTAGTACTCGTCGTCGTCGTCGTCGTCGTCGTCGTCGTCGTCGTAGTAGTAGTAGTAGTAGTAGTTCCTCAGGATTCCCTCAGGATTCCCAAAGGATTCCTGAGAATCCCCAAGGGATTCCTCAGGATTCCCAAGGGATTCCCAAGGATTTCCAGGTGATTCCACAGGCCAAAGGATTCCTACGTATTCCCAAGGGATTCCAAACGATTCCCTTGGGATTCCTGAGCATTTCCGAAGGACTCCGAAGGATTCCCGAGGGATTCCCTATGGATTTCCTGGGCGTCTCCCGGCTGGGGCGTTGCTACACCTAGGCGCGCGGCCGCCTGAGTGAAACGACCTCGGGGCCGGCAGAGGCGGCGGCACACCTGGCGCGCGGACGCTTTCAGATGGGGCCGGCGGAGAGTGTGCACACCCCGGTGTGCCAACCTTTCTGCCGGCCCCACCCCGGGGCCGGCAGAGAGGTTGCTACGTTGTTGTTGCTGTTGTTGTTGTTGCTGTTCTTTTTGTTGTTGTTGTTGCTGTTGTTGTTGTTGTTGCTGTTGTTGTTCTTGTTGTTGTTGTTGTTGTTGAACATTATTAATTCTAAAGAATAATTATTGTTGGGGCCCCTGGTGCACGGCCCCCCTGCGCCGCCTAGGCCGCAGCTACATTTTCATCATTTTCGTGAGGAAGCCTCAGGTAAAACGATGTGATCAGATCCGGTTGTTTTGTTGTAATCCGTTTTCCCTTGCAAAAAACACTATAAAATGACATTTCTTGTTCTAATATAATCAAATTTCAAGAATCCCTTGCAAAAAATAAGGTAAAGTGGACATTCGCGCGCGCAAGACGAAATCCTTCCAAAAGCTTAGTGTTCGGAGCGATTTTAACATAAAAACATCAAAAAACCAATGGTTTTTCAACAAAAAAATGTCAAAATCTCATCCCGCGCGCTCTTGCGGATTCGTAGGAAACCCAACACTTTTTAAACATTTCTGTCAAACGGGCTTTTGCGAGCAACTTTTTCGAACTTCTGCGACAACGGTTGCGCACCTGCCAGGGCCATCATCCCTGTCAAATAATACCATGCGGGACACATTCGTTTTTTCTTCGCGCGCGCACGCCGAAATCTCCAAAAACCATTGGGTTCTTAAGAATTTTAGCACCGCGCATCATAAAATCACACGAATCGCACCGTAGGTCCTCGAAAAACACCTGCACGACTTTTCAAAATTTCTACCCGCGCGCGCTGTCCTAACAACTTCTGTGGGTGTGTACTCCACGCCAGTGTAGTAGCCACGGTCGTCCGCAGGCCACGAAGTGAAGTGTCCGAACGTCATAGGGCGGGAAGCTGGGTGTGGGTGGTGGCGAAGAGTCGTGTGGATATTTGGTAGAGCTTGCACTGCCCCCCCACAAAGTGGGGGTATTGGCTGGCGTCGCATGAAAACCCTGGCACTGGTGAGAACACTGAGCGTTCGGGTAAAGTGATTGTTGTTGTTGTTGTTGTTGTTGTTGTTGTTGTTGTTGTTCGTGTTGTTTTTGTGAGTGCTCATTTCTGAAGAACAATTATGGTTGACCCCCCTCCGGTAACCGTTGAGTTTTCCAATTAAAGTGCTCCTCCTGGTGCTCGCACCCTGCTTTGTACGAGGGAAAGCGGGTTGTCACCAAGCTGGGTCTTTGGTTCCTGGCCCCCGAGTTACACTGACACCAGCTCCCGCCTGATGCTTCCTCACCATTTATTCCAACATCGCGTTCTCGCCCAGAGCTTCCTCACGCTTTATGCAGGAATCGCGCTCTCGCGTGGGACTTCCCGCAATCTATTCAGACGCCGCGCCCTCGACACTCAGGAACCACGCTGTCGCTTTGGCCTTTTCCGCGATTTACTTGAGAATCGCGCTATCGCTCGAGACTTCCTTGCGATTCATGTAGTACTCAGGCTTCAGCAACACGTCTTCTCGACCTGGCCGCATGGGCCCGGCTTCCCGACCCGCCGTTCAGGGTCACCCCGCCCGATGGTCCCGTCTGGTTCTGCCACGTGTTTTCTACTCCTAGCCCCTCTCATGCTAATCCCGTGCTCCATCCTTATCCCTCCCCCTTCCATCCGTTCTCTTTTCCCCAGTTTCAGGGGCTGCACCAATTACACGCGGCAGGCAAGGAAGATATACCCCCAGGGGGGTACAATCGAAGACGAAGAGGGTGGGTACCGTGCGTTTGGGATATGCGTGTTGAATGGCACGCGACTATGTAAGAGCGAACAGTCTTAAACTGATTGTCGTTGTAATTGTTGTCGTTGTTGATGTTTGTGGAATATTTGTTGTTGATGTTAATTGTGCTGATGGTTTGATGGCCGCGATCATGATGCAGCTGATGACGGTGAGGACGGCGGTGATGCGGATCATGATGATGACAATGGTGACGACGACATTGGCGACGGTACTGATGATGGTGGCGATGAAGGTGGCAGTGTTGGTGATAATGGTGACGATGCTGATGAGCACGCTGATGACTAAGACGATGATGGTCATGCTGATGACGGGGATGTTCAAATTGCTCAGGATGGCGGTTGTGATGACGGTGGTTGTGACGGTGATCATGGTGGTGATTGTGGAGGCGGTGATGATGATCATGATGCTCATGGCCATGCTGATGGTAATGCTGATTATGCTTATGATGATGACTGTGCTGATGCTGCTGCTGATGATGCACATTATGATGATGAGTATGCTGATTATGCTCATGATGATGCTCATGATGAGGAGCACAAGCGAGGAGGGGGAAACGGACCTGCAGGAGGAAGGGGAACTCAGCAGGAGAGTTGGATCATCAGTCCTCTCCAGGCCCCTTCGGTCTTTGGTTGTTTTGGCCCCTGGGCCTCCGAAGGGCTCCTGAGACTTTCCTCCTCCATTCTCCTTCCTCCCTTGCCTCCTCTTGATCCTCGTCTACCCCTTACTCCTCCTTCTCCTCCGCCTCATTCTCCTTCTTCTCCTTTCTTCCCTTCTACTGGTGCTCCTCATCTGTTCAGTCTTGGAGGCTCTCGCAAGGGACTGGCCCCCCCCCCTGGGGGGGAGCACGACGACGACGACGACCTCCTCGCGGACGTCTCGGCCCAAGCGGGCTCCGGGGCGACTGGGGGCCGCCGCGATAGCGCCCGCGCCCACCGCGCCGGAGGTCGGGCGGGGCTGGACGACGACGATGACGATGACGACGCCGAGGACGACGACGACGACCGCGACGACGGCGACGGCGACGGCGACTACGGCGACGACGACGACGACGACGCGGGGACGACGACTGCGACGGCGACGATGACGACGACTTTTGAAACAAAGACGATGACGACGACGACCGCGGCGACGACGACGACGACGACCTCCCAGACACCTAAATCATTGTAGAAGCCAGCGCAGGGGGTTTTGTTCGCCAGTTTCGGCGTGCCGCAGGCTGGTATCTAGGACCAAACACGATCGGGGCGACCAGCCAGTCCCCATGAAAGGATCCAGGGTCCGCGTGTTGAACAAATCAGGACATCGGATGTCGGGGCTCGACGGCGACGACGATGACGTCGGTAGCCTCGGTGTCGGCAGTAGCCTCGGTGGCGGAAGAGGGATGATGATGATGATGATGATGAGGATGAGGATGATGATGAGAATGAGGATGAGGATGAGGATGAGGATGAGGATGAGGATGAGGATGATAATGATGCTGCTGTTGTTGATGATAACGATGCTGCTCCTGATGATGCTTATGATGATGATGCTGATGAGGATGATGATGCTGATTGTAGTGATGATGACGATGACTGTGATGATGATACTGATGTTGATGTTGATGATATGATGCTAATGCTGCCGCTGCTGCTGCTGCTGCTGATGATGATGATGATGATTATAATGATGATGCTGATAATGTTTATGCTGCTGATGGTGATGCTGATGATGATGATGGTGATGCTGATGATGCTGCTGCTGATGATGATGAGGAGGATGATGGGGAGAGGATGGTGGTGGTGGTTGTGATGATGATGATGCTGATGCTGATAATGATGATGAGGATGAGTAGCATGAGGATGATGCTGATTGATGCTGTTGCTGCTGCTGGCTGACGCTGACGCTGATGCTGAGGCTGTTGATGATGATAGGGGTAGCGATGGTGAGGAGGCGTCATGTCTTGCAGGTGGTCGGGGCGATGACGGGCTCGGTTGACGTCATCTCCGGAAACGCGCGGGAAGTCACGTTGGCCTGCTCGACCTTCGAAAGCGCTTCAACCGAAAGTCTGGTGACGGTACCTCACCACGTTCATCCTTTTCCTCTCCATCTTCCCCCTGTCCTCCACCAGCACATCGCCACATCTCTCCTCCCCCTCGTTGCTCCCTCCTCCTCGCTCATTCTCTTCCTCCATCCCTTCTCTCTCTTCCCAAATCCTTCATCCCTCCACCCTCCACCTTCTCCGCCTCCTCCTGCTCCTTCGCCTCCGCCTCCTACTCCTGCTCCTGCTCCTGCTCCTCCTCCTCCTCAAACACCTGTGGCCCAAAGCTCCCATACCCGTTGTGCCGCCTAGCTCTGCGCCTCCACGTCGGCGCCTGAGGGGCATCGGGCCATCCTCGCTTCAGACTGCGAAGCACATCCTCGTGGCAAAGCAGAGCGAAGTCAATCGGGTACTTGTGGGTGGCGTTGTCCTCCCAGGCGGTCGGCGAGCGAGGGGACTTCCCTAAAGGCTCACCGCCTGGGGCTAGGGCTAGCGGCTATTTCCATTCACATTTCTGTATTCACTCTGCTTGTTCTAATGTGGCCCCGCAGGTCTCTATCTCGGCCTTTTTATTTGCCACGTGCGGAGGCTTGCAAGCGGTGTAATTTTGTATACATCGCAATGTATAGCTATTATGTTGGCGTTTGGACGCGCTCCTCCTGAACATCTTGTACACGGTCCCAAGCCACGCGGGGCTGTCAGCACGCTTTTTTTGGAATGTAGCGAATGGCTTCGGTAGTTTGGGATGCCATACATATGTTTCCTTCGCCTGCAGTGCGATTGAGTTTCTCGTGTGCTTGTGCTTGGCCAATGGCGCCCGTTCGTTCATGTCCAAGCCCAGTCAAGCTGGGGAGACATATCATCAGTTTCAGTGCTTCCATCTCCCACGTCAGTATGGGGAGGTTGCGGCATCTGTTTCCTGGTGGTGTTTTGCATGGGCGGTTCACGCATCGTTGTTTTGAGGGAGGGCTGCGTTTGCTGGGCCCCGCTTGCCCCATGAAGGTCTTTGGCTGGATTGCTCTGCACCGGCGGCGTTCAGTTTTTTTTGTTTTGTTGTTGTTGTTGTTGGTGTTGTTGTTGTTGTTGTTGTGGTTGTTGTTGTTGCTGTTGTTGTTGTTGCTGTTGTTTTTTCTATCTATTTTCAGCTGATGTCAACATGCTCAATGCATGTATTCGTTTTTCGTGGGCGCCCTCCTCTCCTGAGGAGCCTGAGCCGCAATATTGGTGAAGGGATTTGTCTTGCAGACCTTCCGAGTGATCAGAGGACGTATAATATTGCAGGGTTTGAGGTTCACTATTACTTCGTGGCGCTGTTCTCCCTGGTCCTGTCGGTTCACGTGGTAATCAGTGGGTGTCGCCATTGTTTGATTACACAGTGCGTTGAGCACTGTCTTAGGCGAGCTCCTGTAGCGATTGGCTCCTCTGAGCGCTCTGTTTCGAGCCCGTGCGCATCGCAAGTCCGATGAGCGTTGCACACGTTTGTGTTCGTACCCTTACCCGATTCGATGCCGACGATAGCGCCACAATACTATCTCGCAACAGAATCCTAAACAAAACCCATGTATGGGGTGCCATGCGGGATACCATGTGGGAGATCATGCGGGAGACCATGCGGGGGCACCGTGCGGGAGACCATGCGGGAGAGCGTACGGGAGATCATACGGGAGACCATAGGGGAGACCATACGGGAGACCATACGTAAGGGAAGCCATCGGGCAGACCATGAGGGGCACCATAGGGGGAGACCATAAAGGATGCCATAAGGAAGGCCACCATACACCGACTTTCTGAAAGTCTGTTTGATCGGTTCCGTGGGACACTTTTGACAGTTGTTCCGGCTGAGTTAAAAAGTGCGACGTTCAGCATTCCGTTTGCAGGCACATTTTGGATCCATCCCCTGCCAACGTAAACATTGTTCATGGCTTGTTTTCGCTCTCGGGTGTAAAACGCACAGGTCCGCCGCCAAACAAAATAGTCTCACCTCAGAGATTTCGTTGCCAGGGCATTTTGGCGCGGCGCCTTTGCGAGTATCCCCTTTGCGGCAAATCAGACCTTGGCAGCAGGAGAGGCCACAAAGGAGACCGTGTGGGAGACCATGCGGGAGACCCTACGGGAGACCATCAGGTCACCGATTCCTGAGCCGGCAACGGGAGACCATGCGGGCGATCATTCGCCAGACCGTACGGGAGACCACGCGAGAGACCCTCGAGTCATTTTCTCCAGGGCCAGGGCCGGGTCGGATCCACTCGAGTTCATACGGGAGTCCACACTGGAGACTATCAAGGCCCCGATTCCGGGGCCGGCTACGGACTCACCAGACATCTACGAAACAATGCAGAATCCGTACAGACAAGCTGATTATGGAACGTGCAGGTTTCACATTGCAGCCTTCTCTTGACTTTTGGCTTTACCCTGTATGTCTCATGCGTTTGCTTCTTTTTTGCGAAGGCCTTACGGCTGGTGCCGCCGACCCTGCAGGCGGGACTTCTTCCGGAACCCCCGCTGGCGACCTCCTCCGGACTCGCCAGGACCCGAGGTGGGGGCGGTATTCTGACCCTGGACCCCCCTTCCATCCCCCTCCGGCAGGGAAGGGATAAAGGGAAGGGAATCAACTTCAGTACGACGTTCCTTTTCCTTGCTCCTCAGTTTTCCTTGGGACTGGCGACGACGACAACGACGACGACGATGACGACGCCAGCGTCTCACACACGCTGAATCGTCGGCGGATTTTCTGCATTTCCCACGAACGCCAGTCACGTTGTCAGTGTTCCTGCATCGCTTACGCAAATCTGACAATGGAGCCATTCTTCGGACCATGTGGTCGATGGGTACAGAATTTCGGGACGTTGGCATGTAGCATCTTCTGACCTCAACTTGCAGCTTATGCTGCTTGCCATCACGGACGCTTTGCTCTTTTTTAGAGTAATGATCGTTTCGATTTTCGTGCGACATCTGTAGCAGTCTGTGGCTGGGAAGCTAACTTGCCAGAAGCAACCCATGGCGTGGCCATGATTTTCCCTTGCCAGTCTGATGTGTTCGGAGTTGCAGCTAACTTGGGGCCAGCAGGAACAAGAGCTCATTCGCGTAGTATCTCCAGCTTGTATTTTTCGAGATCTTGCGGCTGCTGGCATTGCGGGGCTAGACGGGCTTCTCATTCGGTTGTCGGCAGCTCTCACATGGAACCGGAAGGACAACAGTTGGTTCGTTATTTGTTCAACGCGTTGGCTAATCTGTTTGAGAGTTCGGCACTTTTGCCGAGTGTGTTTGCCCAGCACGTGCTGAGCCAGCTTGTCGACGCTTTGAGCAGCACCCAGCGTTTTCGAGTTTGATGTGTATGAGTTGTCTTGCGAATCCCACCACCTGGATATCATTTGAGTCAGTTGTTTGCTCCAGTCTGGCTGCGCCCAGCGCGAAGGGGAAACATATTTCTCCAGATGAGGGCAATGCGGCATCTGTTCGCTGCAGCGTTTTCGTAAGCATTGTGGCTCAGGATTTGTTCGTTCAGTTTCTTGCCAGACTCTGTGCAGTTTCGGCCTACGTCAAGAACACAATATAGCATTGCAGTCCATCATTAGCAAGCACTGCGTGGTGCATGCATTTGCGTGTTGTACAGCAGCAGGGAAGGAACATGATGCTCCATGTGGATCGGCACCAGAGCAGGTGGTTCGACACTTCCCCCGTCATTGTCATCTTGAGTCCGACTGAGCCAGTCTCTTCGATGTGTTTGTCCCCCTGCCTTCCACGCCCTGATGGCTTATGGCTGCCGGCGGCTGCGAGACCCAAAGCGGTCACTGAGGGCTCGGGCGTTCCTAGTCGCGCACGCGCGCTTCCTGCTTTTCGACACTCTCCGCCCTGTCGCTGCGCGCAGGGCCGCGACGCCGAAACGTGCGTGTGTGCGTGTGTGTGTGTGTGTGTGTGTGTGTGTGTGTGTGTGCGCGCGCGCGCGCGCGCGCGTGTGCGTGCGTGCGTGCGTGCGCGTGTGTGCGTGTGTGTGTGTGTGTGTGTGTGTGTGTGTGTGTGTGCGTGTGTGTCGCTTTTGCCCCCTTTGCCGATGTGCGGGGCGGATCCTCTGTGTCGATGGCATTTTGGCCCGCGGGCCCTGCCCCCGCGGGCGGCCCGCTCTCCGTGCCGGCTCTCTCCCGGCCAGTGCTGCCCCCTCCTCCCTGGGCGCGGCCTCGCGCCGCCACGCTGCCCGCCTTGCTTTAATCAGGAGGGAAAGAAACACACAGACACAATTAATCGTCGACTCCCAGGAAAATATGGGAAAATATGGGAAGTGGGGGGGAAGACAGAAATCAGAAAATATGGGGAAATATGGGGGATCTTTTTATTTGTGTGTATTTATTTGTGTGTCCTGGGGCCCCTTTATTTAACTCGCCGAGCGCGTTCCACCACTCGCACAGTGCCTACTCGCAAACGTCAGAAAAAACACACATATGTCTGCCACGAGGCAAGGCATCGTAGATCCCTCGCGGCGGATCCAGGCCATTTTGTTGGGATGCAACTCCTGGGAGGTCAACTTCTGATTTTGCACTGGTCCGAAATCCGGATTAATCCGGCTTAATACAGCTTAATCCCGCTTAATCCGAGGCCCACTCCGGCGTGATAGCGCCCACATGGGGCTTAATCCTCCTCAATCTTTCCGACGAGAACCTCCCAGTACTTGCCTCCTAACATTTGCGAGCAGTGATTGTGCGAGTGGTGGCACGCGCCCGCCTCACTCCGGCGTGCTCCCTGCCCGTTGCCGCCTCCGCCCCCGCCCCCGCCCCCGCCTTCGCGGCCCCGCCGCCCTGGCCGCCGCTGCCTCTCCCGCCGCCCCGGCTGCCGCCGGCCCGGCTGCCGCCGGCCCGGCTGCCGCCCTGCCGCTGCCCCGCGAGTGGCCGGCTGCTCGCCCGCGCGCGCCCCGCGTGCGAGGGTTGACGGCATGGTGAGTGCGCAACGGCATGGCGAGTACGCTCGAAAGTGTTTTTTTTTTTTTGTGTGTGTGTGTGTGTGTTTGTTCGTGTGTGTGTGTGTGCTCCCCCCTGCCCAGGCCTGTCAATGTGTCCAGTGGTGGGCGGGGCCTCTGCGTGCAGGTATTTCGAATCGAGCCGCGAGGTGGCACAGCAAATGGTCCAGACGGCCCTCTTTCCATTTCTGCTCTCCTCCATCCTCCCTCCTTTCTCCTCTCCTCCGTTCTCTCTCCCTCACTCTCGGTCTCTCTCTCTCTGTCTCTGCTTCTCTCTCTCTCTCTCTCTCTCTCTAGCTGTCTCTCTCTCCTCCCTGCTCATACCTCAAGATCTGGTGCTCCTCCCTTCATATCAATCCTCTTCCTCCCTTCCGCCTTCCTCCTACTTTCTCTTCCTCCTCCTCCTGCTCCCTCCTCTCCTCCTCTTGCTCCTCCTCCTCCTCCTCCTCCTCCTCCTCCTCCTCCTCCTCCTCCTCCTCCTCCCCTCCTCCCCTCCCTCCCTCCCTCCCTCCCTCCCCGTCCCTGTCCCCCCATTCCCCTGCCCTCCTCTCCCCCTCGCGGTCCCGCTGCCGCGGGCCATCTTCGTCTTCCTGGGCGGGCTGACGCTGCTTGGCTGGAGCTCGTGGGAAGCCAACCTTTCGGGGACCCTGGCCGCCGCCCCCCCGCTAGAGTATGGGAACATGGGGATCTGATATTCAGACCCCCTCGCGCCGTGACAAAATCAGACGGGTAGTTTTTCAGTGTTTCCGGCCCCTGGGGGCCCTCGCCGGATCCTGGGACGACCCTGAATGGAAAGCTGGTCCCAGGGAACAGGGGGTCGAAGTTGCGAAAACAAGCGCGACATCGTTGGCCTGGGTCCGCCTCCCTCGAGGTGGACGGGAGGGCGAGGGTGAGGAAATCAGGGGCAGCGATGGCCAGGCCATCCGCGGGGGCGCGAAGAGAATCGCGTTCTTCGCGCGTCACGGTCGAGGCCAGAGCGGTCACCCTTGTCCCAGGGAGCGGCGCAAGGGCGCGAGGGCGCCAGGGCGCGAAGATGATCCCGCGTCGTGCATCGCGGGGCGAGAGGCGCGAAGGTGGGTGACCTAGATGTTGGGGAGGCTGTTCAACACGTTGTTTGGCTGATCCGAGGAATATAATTCTCGCCTTCACCTCCGACTTCGACCATGGCATGCTCGGCGGCAAGACCTGGGCGGGCTCCGGCTGGGCCTTCTGGTGCTCCATCTGCAACTCGGTGCTGGTCAACGTGGTACAAGGGAGCGCTTCCACTGTGGTGTTTAGGGAGTACGTTCCCTTCGCCGTGTCGTACATCGTGGGTTGCGTTCTTCTGTGCGTCAGCCTGCTAGGTCTGGTGTACCTGAAGGCGGCCACTCACGTAGGTTCCTCCACAGACATTGTATTTATCACAGGATTGGCCCTCGTCTGCGTGCAGGGAACGTCGTCGGCGCTGCTCGCGAGCGCCGTTTTCTCCTTGGCGGGGGCGGGTGGGTGGGTGGGTGGGTGTGTGGGTGGGTGGGGGAGACTGGAACGATTGCGGCAGGGGAATGTGTGCGGGTTGGGCGGTGGCAGTGACACGGAGAGAGCATGCGGAGGGACGGATGGGAGAATGTCAAAGAGGCGGATGAGAAAGATGATGGTAGGCATTAGCGACGACGACGGCGATGATGATGAGGATGAGGGTGATGATGCTGCTGCTTATGATGGTGAGGGGGAGAATGAGGATGATGATTGTGATGGCAATGACAAAGAAAATGCCAATGGCAACCACGATGACGATTACGTTGTCGATGCTGATGATGCTGATGATGCTGATGTTGATCATGATGATGATGATGATGTTGGTGGTGGTGATGCTGCTGCCTATGCTGGTGGTGATGATGAGGATGCTGACGATGATGCTGCTTATGATGATGATGTCGATGGCGATGAGGACGACGGTGATGATGTTGATGATGCTGATGATGATGGATATTAGGATGATAGGATGATGGTGATGACGACGTCGACAATGACGATAATGGTGATGCTGATGGTCATGCAGTTGCTGGGGAATGCGGACCTGGTGTGGACGATGATGGTGATTCTGTTGATAGTGAAGATGATGACGCTGGTCATGGAGATGATGATGCTGCTGATGCTGATATGCTCATCATGATGATGCTGATACTACTGGTGCCTTCGAAGCTGCTGCTGTTGATGGTGATGCTGATGGTCATGATGATGCTGGGGGGGAGGGGGACCTGGTGTGAACGATGATACTGCTGCTGACGATGATGCTGATTCGTATGATGGTAACGATGGTGACGACGCTGATGACGATGACCAGGATGATGATGATGACGATGATGCTGACGACGATGATTGTACTGATGCTGATTATGATTCGGATGATGGTAATCATGCTATCCGTGGCGGTTGTAGTTATGCTGATGCTGGTGATGATGCTGGTGCTGATGACCATGATGATGCACATTATGACGAGGATGCCGATGCTGATGATGCTGATGACGTTGTTGTGGTTGAAGATGATGGTGCTGATGTTGTGATGAGGATGATGACAACGACGACGATGACGATGGTGATGATGATCATGATGCTGCTGATGCTGGTGATGATGCCAATGAGGAGGCAGAGAACGAGCTGGTGGAGGATGATGAGGGCTCTGCTGACGATGCGGATCTTGATGCTGATGACGGTGGTGGCGGATGCGTCTGTGATTACGTCGCTGATGATATTGATGACGCTGATTATGTTGTTGTTGATGGTTCGGATGCGAACCATTCAGGTACATCGAGGGTGCCCGTGCTGGAGGAGAGAGTAGGGCGTTGATGCTGAGAAGGAAACATGAGGATGATGATGATTATAAAGGATCTGCTGACGAGTACGATGATGCTAATGATGTTGATGATGATGATGATGATGATGATGATGATGCTGATGATGATGATGATGATGATGATGATGATGATGGCGACAGTGATGATGCTGGTATTGATGATGTTCGTGATGATGATGACGACATTGATGATGACGATGATAATGCTGCTGCTAATGCGGCTGGTGATGATGATGGTAATGCTGAGGATGATGACTGGTGAGGGTGATGCTGTTTTTGTTGATGATGTTGAGGAGGAGACGGAGAAGGAGGAGACGGAGGAGTACAAAGGATGAGGAATGATGATGGACGGTGATGGGACGGAATGGTGATGTGGCGGGAAACGGTATTGATGCCGAGGAGGGGAAGGGGAGGAGGAAGATGAGGAGGTGTTCAAATTTAGTGCTTCGACTGGGTGAACAGGATCTGATATGGACCCTCTTGAGAACGTTGATTATAAATTCCAGAGGTGCATGTTAGTCGTTGGCCACAACTCTCTGGTTCAATTCCAATAGGTTCCAGGGCGACCAGGTTTTTATGATATTCTAATGGTGGCAGGGTCTGTGGTTCGCTACACGAGTTTCAGTGCGCGTAGCTGACTCCGCGATGCGCTGCCCTTTCGGCAATGGCCGCTCCGGCAGCCGCACGAGGGCCAGCGAATCCACGGCGCAGCCGACCCAGGTTTCGATGTAACATTACCCGAAGTCCGAGAGGCATATGGCAATCTGAACACGAGCCGATTCGCCGATTTCTGCAATGCCACTTACGAGAACGCAGATTTCAGGTACGTTGGTACGGCGCTCAAGACCAACCACGAAGGAATTTGTTTTCTTCGAATGCGGTGCTACACAGGGCACCTGGACTGTCGTCAATGATGAAGCATCCACAATGCTGCACATCAGCTACTCAAATGTCAACCACAGCATGTACTGCGAGGAACATTTCGACAACTTGAAAAAGATGCGAGGAAATACTTCCACACCAAGCAAGCACTTCGGAACACGTCCCCGAAACTGCTGAAGCAATACAGTTTGCATGACGCGCCAGGCCAGGCGGAGGTGGAAACATACCCGTGAGCGATTACAAGGCCGTCCAACAGTTAAATCGGTCTCAGGTGACAGGGCACAAGTCAGGGAATCGAGCGGGCAACTGTTGAATGCACGCGCCCAAGTACAGCATGGATTGACCCAAACCCGAAGAATTGGAGCAACAAGCTCGGAACCAGGGATGGGGCATTACAGACGACGAAGAGGACGAGCTGATATAGATCATGACTGGGCGGTGAGCATTGAGCCAATGCATCAAGGCGTCAGCAATCAAGAACAACTATGATGAGTAAACGTGGGGATCCGAGTTAGACGAACACGGTTCTGCGAAGTTGGACGGGGACCTCTGGTATTTTCGTAAAGTGGCAAACTCAAATGGCCAGGGCCGCGGGGTAAACTGAAGGGTTTGCATGAAGGGTGCGGTTTTGATGGGTGATCCAAGGCGTGCAAGTTGTACTCCGACGCTGCCGGAGGACACTATCGCATAATTTGCATGTGGCCATGGGCCTCCGAAGGCCGAAGACCAATGACGTGGCATTGCTGCTTGAGCAGTGGGGTGCGGTAGTAGAACCCATAGAACAACATGGATATGCAAATCCGAAGCCTCTGCCATTCTGGTTCGCAGCCTTGGGGATCATATGAGACATGCAGGTAATTGGCTTGACTGTTAACAATTGCTTTACATGTCAGAAATACTTGAACATCGGCACATGCCAGCAGCTCTATCTTAAGTGCGAGGGTTGGACAAGGAAGAAAGGGTAGACGCGGATACGACGAACGCCGATGCAGTGGGCGCTGGCCAAGTCAACGATGACGACAGTGGACAGCGGTGAATCAATGGCGACGATGCAGGATATTATGCCGAGGTGTGCAACTGGTGGGCGAACGAAGTCAGTGATGGAGCGGGCAAAGGCAAAGGCTTTTATCTTTTAAAAGGCGTGGAAGGCATGGGCGCATTTTGACGGGCAGCGCCACCAAAGGAACCGCAACAAGAACATATAGTGGAAAAGGAGAGCGTAAAAGGGGTCGAGGGTTACCGAGGGACGCAGGCAGGCGGATGCAATTGGGGATAGCCAGGCACCAAGGGTTACCCGTGGTGTTGCGGGCAGGGGGGCTACGCGAGAAATCCCCAGCATGTTACCGAGGAAGCCCAGCCCCAGGCTGGAAAAGGAGGTCAGGGAGGATTTGCGCCGGCGGCGAAGAGGGTCGCATTGAGGTTACCCCGGGTCAGGGTGGGCAGGAGGCGCAGGATTGCTTGCGGAGCTGTCAGGGCAACCTTTGTCAGGGCCGAGATGCTGCAACGTCGAGATGGGCGAAGATGCCCGCGCGCGCGATGCCGTGGCGACCCCGAACCATTGGAGCCGGTTGAAGGGGCGCAGGAGTGGAGGACGCAGTGCCTTGCGACGAAGAGGAGGGGCAGGGGGCAAGGTTCGGGGCCAAGAGGAATTGTGCATCACATTGGTGCGGCGTTCGCTGCGGCCGCGGCACTGGCCGGGGTGACCGATTGCGGGTCTCATCGTGCAGGGGTTGAGTTGGGGGCGCACATTCGCTGGACTACAGTTAGTGGAGATGGAAAGACCCAACGTGGAAGGCAATGAAGTGCTTGCAAGGGGCCATGAGAGCGGCATGGTAACAAGGGCTGTTACCGTGGACCTCCAAACGTGGGAACCCACCTTCCCGTCGGACCAGCGGGGGCCTCCGAGGGCGGTGGGCGCTGCAGTGCAGCCGATGGGTCAGTCATCAGGAACCAGGGGCGACGGGTCTTGATAGGAAACGACGAGGAGGGGTCTATAGTGAGCATACTTACCCAGGTAGCGGGTGTTAACATGTGTTCGGGTCTGCTCGTGGAATAGTCGAAGCGGAGAGTCGTGTAGTGTTAGATCGAGACAGCGATGGGCGATCCCGCAGCTACATCATGCAAAAGGCAACTGGGCAACATTCTGGGGCGCGCGAGAAACGCTGCAACGTCTCGTTTGCCATTCGCGCCCCAAAAGTGGCTGCGCGTCGAGAGGGGGCGGGGGAGGTAGAAGTGGTTATGGGGGGGGGGGGGGGGGCGCGGTTTTTCCGGGCAGGAAGATGTCGCGGATTTGTTTTTTCTCAATCTTTTTCGGTCTGGCTGAGCGCGCGGGCCCGGGTCGGGGGCCAGTCGCCGCGCGCGCGGGGGTGGGGGTGGGGTCAAGCTAGCCAGCTCGAGCGAGGCAAGCATGACATGCCCATTGCCACCCGCCCTCCCGCAACATAAGAAAGAGTGATGGCGCAACTGGGGGCTGCGCGGGCATTTCAGTGCGAGTGGAGGGTGCCCCG